CACCTGGAGCTGTGTGGAGCTGGGGGCTGGGCTGGGCTTGAGGACTGGGGTGTGCAAGGGTGTGGGGGGCAGTGTCCCTGCAGCTCCAGCCCTCTCTCCGCTAGGAAGTTCCTGGATGAAAGGTTACTAGATGGCAGGACTCATGTCCTCCTTCATCTCTGTTGCATGTGTGAGAATGAAGTGTCATAAATACAAGTTGTGTAACCCAGATCCTGGCACTTAGTAAGTACTCATTGAAGTTTGGTTTTCTTCCCTCTGACTTTTCACAAAACTCCCCTAATGTCTCTCAGGCTTTGAGGAGTCTCCCCATTGGGCAGGGGAAGGTGGTGGCAGTGGGGGTGGACCTGGCGGCTAATATTGGTCCTTGTTCATTCATTATTTTTCAATTAAGATGGATTTTCCCAATATTCCCATGTCTAAGTGGATATTAGCAGAAATAAACCTTTGGGGATGACAGCATGGGATGTGTTCAGGTATATCCAGATGTCCTGCGTTTGCCCAGAGTTTTATTTTTTATTTAATTTTTAAATTTTATTTATTTATTTATTTGAGTGGGGGGCTGGGAGACGGGCAGTCGGGGAGGGGCAGACAGGGAAGGAGAATGACAAGCAGACTCAGCGCCCAGTGGGGAGTCCAACACTGGTCTTGATCCCAGGACCCTGAGATCCTGACCTGAGCGGAGTTGGAAGCTTAACCGACTGAACCACCCAGGCGCCCCTACCCAGAGTTTTAATATCTTAGACCAGACATCTGGGCTGAAAGCAATCACTCCCAGGCACCAATGAGTCAGTCAGTCCTTGCTCCATGAAAAAAATTTAGTGGATCATTCAGAACAATCAAGAGTGAACACAGGCTGGGAGAGGCTCTGCTGGGTGTGTGGTTGTGGAACTCTGAGAGATTGGTTTCCTCACCTGCAGAATGAAGACAGTAATGACAACTCCACAGAAGCGGCACCAGGGAGGTGCCCAAACTAGTGTCTTAACACCTGACACTTAGCAGATGACTGTCACTTAGCAGACGAACACCTGAGCACTGGGCCGGTTTGAAGGAGCAAACAAGGTGGTTGAGTCTGATGTTTCTATCCCAGTGATGTTTCAGAGATGCATATGGGTTTGGGTAGGAAGAAAGAAAGGGCGGGGAAGATGGTGGAGGTGTTGTATCCACCCAGGGGCTGACTTGTTTAGGTCAGAGTTAACAGTCTTCGTGTTTCTCAGTGGACTGAAGTGTTTTCCGAATTTGGACAGAGCTGAGTAGCCAATGTGCTGCTGAAGCGAGTCCTCCGCACGTGAGCTCAAACAAAGTTTCCTGAGTGTTTACCGTGTGCTGGACATGTGAACAGGGCACACAGTGCCTCCCTTTGTGGATGCCACAGACATTCCATAGAAGATCATGTGTCAGGGCTGTGGAGGAGAACAGGGTGCCACTAAAACCCTAATAAGCACGTGTATGGGGCACATATGGGGATGAGCATGTTGGCGAAGACCCCTTGGAGGAAAGTCACTTTAGGATAGATGGGAACAGTGTGGACGGAATCTGGGGGACTAGAGAGAGAGTAGGAACATCCAGTAGTTTATGAGATGGCCAGAGGCTGGGAAAGTGCCATGAACTGGAGGAGCTCACCCAGGCCAGTGAGGGAGCACTGGGAGCAGTGGAATGAGGTTGAGAGGAAGCAGGGGCTTGGGAGCCACAGACAAGAGGTATAGCAGGGGGATTCCTGGAAGAGATGAAGCAGAGCTGACATAAGCTGACTTGAGAGGGTCATGACTTTGGAGAGAAAATGAACTTGAGGAGGAGAGGCTGGAGGTGGTCAGGGGACACTCATGGGGAAGCAGGGACACCGTGCCTGGATGAGGGGGGAAGTGAGGTTGGTGGGGAGCTAGAAGGTGGCCATGGATATGGATTCAAGGAAAGTCTTGAACTTTCTGGTACATTGGAAGTAGATGGGTGGGAAAGTGGTGTGTCAGGAATGACCCTCCAGTTTCAGGCAGACATAACTGGGTGAACCCAGGTGTCCTTTACTGAGATGGGGAGCTGCAGGAAGGGAGGGGCTGGAGAGGTAGGTCCAGTGCTCCATGGTTTTCCTTCAGAGACCATAGAATCTGCCTTTCCTGGTGCACACTGCGGCCTGGCAGGGAGGGGCTGAATGGTGTACCCAGGCCATGTGTGATAGTAAAGTACTAAGAAGCCATAAGGTGCTGTCCATTCAGCTGGGGCAGGGCCAGAGTCCTGGAGCTGGTCCTGGACGAACCTGATGCTCAGTCTTAACCCCTCTGTTGCCAAGCTATGGGAAGCACCTGGGTCATCTCCTGATGAAGAAAAGCAAAGCAGCTACACTGAGGGCTTTTCAAAGACTCTTGCCATTAGGATTCAGAAACTGACATAGAATATTCTTGGTAGTGAACAGTCCCATGCAAAGGGTGAGGTATTAGTCTTGTCTGCCACACACACTCCCTGTTTCTGGTCTAGAAACTAGCCAACCTGGAGAGTAGAAGTTGTTCAATAAAGGATTGCTGAGTCTGTGTCTTGTGTGTCCTCCTGCAGAGTGGGTCAGTGTACCTGTCCCTGCCCTATTTCATGGCTCTGATCATGCTGTTTCCTTCCTGATAACTAGGGTGCACCGTCCAGAGGGCAGAGCAGAGTCTGCTGTGATTTCTTGTTGTAAGCTTTCACTTTCAAATGGTGGAAGGAGTCAGCACAGGGTGGATTCTTCTGTCTTGGAGTGCTGAGTGCCCCAGGTCCCTGTTTCGGGACAGGCCCCTGCAACCTGTCTCAGGCTCTGCTTCTCTGCTCTCCTGGGAACCACTTGCCTCTCAGACAAGAGAAGCCTGTAGCACCAGGGTTGGATCTGGAAGCACGGTGTGGGGCTCGAGCAGCGAACTGCAGGTGCAATTTCAGAGAGCAGATTTGGGGTTGGCTGAGATCTTGCACAGCTAAGTTAGAGACACTTATGAAGTCCCAGGTTTTCAAGCAGGTGAGTGGGTTCTGAAGACACTTGTTGGACAAGAGGAGGAAAGCTGGGAGCAGCTGGCTGGGAGGAGGAGGCTGAGATCATGGTGGGGCTGGGGTGGTGGTGCTGGATAAAAATGAGTCTCTGAGAGGACCCGGGACAACTACAGGGAGGGCTGCACTTTATTCACTTATTTAATGACATCTCTGTAGCATTCCTAGGACCAGGCACTGTTCTAATGACATGCACTGACTCTCCATACATAAATTCATAGGATTCTCCTTATACTTTGGGGTGAGAGCCTGTTACCATCTGCATTGAGGAACTGAGGCAGAGCAGCTCAAGAAACTTGCCTCAGGTGATCCCACAGGAAGCAGCCGAATCTGGAGGAGACGTCAGCAGTCAGCCCCAGAATCTGTCCTTCCCAGGACCATCGGCTGCCCCACCCAGCAGTAAGTGGTTTGAAGCCCTTCTTTCTGACCAGAGCTCATTTTATCCTCTGCTGTTCCTGCTCTGCTGGGATCCTTTATCCTGAGGCGGAAACTCCTCAAAGATAGAGAAGATGAGGATTAACCTTTCATGGGGAATTGTCTGGGCCTCAGCTATGAGCAAGGAGAGGTCCTTGGTCCTGAGCAGGAAAGAGCTGGGGAAGGGAGGGACCTGAAATTCAGGTGAACTCACCCAGCAAAGGACCGGAGGACCGGGTGCGTGTGGTGGGAGCCACAGTGTCCTTGAGGAGGACACAGTCTGACTCTCATGCTTCTCAGTGATTCCCTGGTCATAATTAGGGGGCAGCAGAAGAACAGCACGCAGGAGCTGGTGTGTCCTTCATGGGGAGGGACCTGAGTCTGGGCCCTGTGTCCCTGTGGTGGCCTGTGAATGAGGCAGACATGGAGGAGTCCCCCTGTGCTGAGGCGGGAAGGTCTGGTCCTGTGGGCAGAGCAGGCTGGGAAAGTTTCCAAAGGGCTGGGAGGGATTTCTTGGTGTTAAGGTTGTGGGGGCCGCCACCAGCATGATGAGCAGTAGGAAAGGCTGTGCTCTTGCTGAGGACCGTTGCCAGCCCTGAGCCCTGCTGTCTGCTCTGAGGCCCAGAGCTGTGGGCTGGCCCTGCCTCCTCTCTGGAGGTGTTCACCTGCCTCCTGCCCTGTGTCTCCCCAGCTCTGAGGAAATGGAGGATTGCTGCAGGGGCTCTTTGCTCTCCCATCTCCCCTCCCTGCTTTTCTTCTTCCAGCTGCCTGCTGGGGGGTCTGCAGGTGAGTGTGTCCCCTCCCCCTTCCTGTGTCTCCTTGGGGTGGGTGAGAGCCCCAGGGAGTTCTGCTGGTGTCTCCATCACGACGGATGGTTATTGGTGGAGGCCCTGGTTCTAGAAAGATTCTGGTGATCCCCCAACTGCTAGTTGAAATTAAACATTTAAGAAGAATCCCAGAACTGTAAAATAAGGACAGGGGACCATGACAGTTGTCTAATGAGGACTTTATGTCTTATAAAGTAATTCAGCAGAGGACAAAGACATGGGCAGAAATAATAAAATTAGGAGCGGGTGTTGGGAAGTTCCTTGGGTGTGGCCCAATGAACAGAGAGGTCCCACCTAGGCCACAGGTGTGCTGTTTGGTCAGTTTTCAGTCCTGTCCTAAGAGGAGGCAGGTTAGAGCTGTGGATGTCAGAGTGTGGTCCCTGGCACATCAGTATCACATCCCTGCTACCTCCTCAGATATGCACTTTCTTGGACCCACCCCAGACCTACTGAACCAGGAGCTCTGGGGGTGGAGCCCAGCGGTCTGTGTTTCTCAAGCCTTCCTGGTGATTGTGATTGTGATGCCCGTGATGCCCCTAACTCAGAACCACTGAGTTAGAGAGTCCTTCATGGAAGACCTGGAGCCAGGAGCACAGCTGCTGAGGGCGTCTCTTTGACACCATTTCTGGGTCGCAAAGTTGTGGTTGAGGATCTTGCCCTGATTCAGAGTGGTCACAGCTGAGCCCCTCAGGTCAGGGCCTCCCACCTGACAGTGTGTTCCCTGCCCCTGTCCTTCATCTCTCCAGCTTTCTCACTCCTATGTCTCTGTCCACAGAGGAGTTCGTGGTGATTGGCTCCTCGGACCCCATTGTGGCAGTGCTGGGTGGGAGCATCACGCTGCCATGTCATGTGTCCCCGGCCATGAGTGTGGAGAACATGGAGCTGCGGTGGTTCCGCTCCAAGTTCTCAGAAGCAGTGTTCATCTATCAAAACCAGCAGGAGCAGAGAGAGGAGCTGTTGGCCCAGTACACAGGGCGGACCTCACTGGTGAAGGACTTCCTCACCCGGGGGGAGGCTGCTGTGCGCATCCACGATGTCCAGGCTTTTGACAACGGGCTGTATACCTGTTTTTTCAGAAAGGGAAGCTTCTATGAAGAGGCTGGTTTGGAACTGAAGGTGGCAGGTGGGTTGCTGATCCATATTTAGACACCTGCAGTATTGGAATTGGGAGCAACCTCAGGGTCTAAGTAAATATGCCCTCAATTTATAGATGAGGGAAAGGAGGGTCTTTCACTCATTCATTTATTCAGTACAGATATATGGAACCCCTAGTACGTGCGAGCTACTGTTCTCTGCACCTGGATACATCAGTGTAACAAACAAAAATCCCTGCCCTGCAGAGTTTATATTCTAGAGACAGTAAATAAACAAATAGATAGGTGATAGACGATGTTAGATGGTGGTAAGTAGTGATTTAGCTAAATAAATATTTTGGCGGTGAGAGTTCCAAGCAGAGGAACACCCATGTGAGACACCTGAGGTAGGAGTGTGGCAGGTGAGTCTGGGCAGAGAGGGAGGCCACATGGTTGGTGATGGAGGTGAATGGGAGGGTGGTGAGAGGTGACTATCCAGAATAAAGAGGTGTTCCTGGTCCAGGTGCACAGAGAAGAGATTGATCAGGAAGAGTCCATGAGGAGTGCACACTTGAGCAGGCATTTGAGTGAACCAGTGTTCTGAAATAGCCTTCTGGTTGATGGATCTATGTGGGGCATAGATAGCATGGTGATTGTGGTATGAACAGTTAACCAAATAGTCCTGGAGCTGGAGCATGTCCTTCCTGATGGGTACAGATGGTGGGATTGGGGAGGAAGTAGACAGGAGTTTTGTTTGGGGGGTGGTGGTGATACCAGACCATCAAAGGCTTCATGTGCTGTGTTGTGCAGTTTGGATGCAGAGCCGAGGGAATTTTAAACAGAGTGGTGGAGGGAGATGTGTGTGGGCAGGTTTCCTTTGGCAGCTTTATGGAGGGTGTATGGAAGGTGAGCAAGACTGGAGGCCTGGATGTAGTTATGGGGTAGAGAGGATGGCCACCTGAATTCGTGTAGTGGCAGTGGGGTGGGAAAGGAGCTCTCCAGCATCAGAGAGTTTTGGAAAGTAGACCCAGCTGTGTGAGGAGATTTGGGGACAAGGAGAGTTTGGAGGAGTGGAGAGAAGGGTCAGCAGAGGCTCAGTTTTTTTTGGCAGTTGGTTGTTTAGTAGTAGAAATATTGATATTATGTGTAAGTTGCCAATTGCTGTCATAATGTTGTGTAACACAGACATAGAAATCTCAGTGGCCTATAGCAACAAGCGTGTATTTAATTTGGGCATAAAGGGAGTTCAGCTCATCTGGGGTGTATTCAGCTAATCTTAACAGGGCTTACTCATACATCTTCGGTCATGTAGGGGAAATATAATTAAAAACATAATCTTCCAACCTAGAAATCCTCTTCTCAAAGATAGTAGGAAAAGAAATCCTTTTTATTATTAAATTTGCATTAACTAGAATGTGATGTGCATCACAGAGATTCTATCAAGAAATGCAAAGACAGAAGAAATCTCATCTTTTCCATAGCCATGCAGACACAACTCATTCCATACATGTTCTCAGGATCAGCAGTTATGAGCCCTCAAGTAGGTGGACTTGCTGGCACCTTTTGTCCTAGGTGGTGCACTCTACATTTACTTGGAAATTGGGGTGACCCTCTATGTTAGCTAATTGGCTTTATTCTGAGGAAAACCAAATTCTCTTACCTTAAAAATAAAAAAAAATATTTCCAGTGTAGTTAACATATAGAGTTATATTCATTTCAGGAGCGCAATATAGTGATTCAACATTCCACATATTAGTGGAATTTCAACAGAAACTCTGCAGGCTAGAATGGAGTAGTGTGATATATTCAAAGTGCTGAAAGGACAAAAATCCGGAGCCAAGAATACTCCATCCAGCAAGGGGATCACTCAGAATAGAAGGAGAGATGAAGAGTTTCCCAGACAAACCAAAGTTAAAGCAGTTTATTTTTACAAATTCTCCCATCTTCATGACAGGAGGTGGTCTTACACGTGGATCCTGGTGCCCACTGAGGTTAGGCTCCTTCCCTGGCACAGGAAGCGGAAGAGAGAGGTGCTGTCCTCCTTGGTGTGAACAGTTTAAAGAGAGGGCTCCCAGGTCCTTGAGAAAGACATTCCTGGATCACAAAGCTGGCAAAAGGCCTATCTGCTTTCCCCCCCCCCCAAAGGGCTTATATACATTTCAAAGAGGGGAGAAAACACCCACAATCACAAGTTTCCTCAAGTAAATGCTATAAGAAAAGGATGGGAAGGGGCTCTCCTTATTTTCAACAGGGACAATAAGCCTCTTACTTTTATTTTTATTTTTTAAATATTTTATTTTTATTTATTTATTTATTTATTTATTTATTTATTTATTTATTTGACACAGAGAGAGAGAGATCACAAGCGGGGGGTAGGGGGACCCAGCAGGGAGCCCAACAGGGAGCTCGATCCCAGGACCCTGGGATCATGACCTGAGCAGAAGGCAGACGCTTAACCGACTGAGCCACCCAGGCACCCCAGCCTCTTACTTTTAATATATTTTGCTCTGACAGTGGGCCTTGGCTGGGTTTGCTCACATGGGTGTTGTTCAGCTGGCTGTTGGCTGGTCTAGGACGGCTGCAGCTGGAAAGGCTGCGCTAGCCTGAGCATGCCCCTCCCGTGGCAGAGGGTGAGGCAATGGCACAAGCAGTTTCCAACCTCCGCTAGAGTCACATTTCCTGAACTAACAGTGGCTGAGTCAAGTCACGGGATGGAGCCCAGAGGCAGGGTGTGAAGGCAGTAAAAATATGTGGTGAGGATGAGCTGTATGTAAAGAAGGCTGAAGGATTGGGAATATTTTCATCATCAGCCTATCACAGATGGGGCCAAATATCAATCAGTTCAGGATTTGAGTTTGAAGCATCTATGAGCAATCCTGGCAGAGCTAACCCCAGGGATGTGGATCATAGGGAGGGAGCTCAGGAGGTTAGTAGGGTTATCAAGGATGCAAGTAATGTACCAAGTGGCAGTGGGTGTGCAAGCAGATGCCCTGGAGAATGTGTGAGGTGAGAAGAGCAGAGAAGGATGGAACCTGGGACCAAATTCCTCCTTCTGTCACTCTGGGTGATGGATCTCCACCCTCATGGTTGGGGAGAAGAGTCCCACCCTCTGTGCCTGCTGCAGGTTCCCCTGAGCTTTCCTTCTGTTCTCCTTGGCAGGACCCTTTACTTTAATCCTTGCAGGAACCACTCCCCCAGGGAACCCCGGAATGTAATGCTGTCCCTGGAGTTGTGCACAGGAAGACTCTGCTGGCATCATTGGGGTCTGGGTAGCCTCCCTGTGCTCTGCAGCTTCTCTTTTGCAGGTGTGGGCTCTGCCCCTCAAGTGCACATCACAGGGCCAGAGGAGGACGGGGTCCGAGTTGTGTGCATGGCCTCGGGGTGGTTCCCAAAGCCCCAGGTGCAGTGGAGAGCTGTCAGTGGAGAGAAGTTCCTGACATTCTCTGAGACCCAAGCCCAAGATGCTGAAGGGCTGTTCACCATAGAGGCCACTCTGGTGGTGAGGCACAGCTCTTCAGGGAATGTGACCTGCTCAGTCCTCAACCCCATCCTGGGCCAGGAGAAGGAGGTGGCCATTTTCATCCCAGGTCAGTACTGCTTCCCACTCCCAGAAGGGCGGGATGGTCTGGTTGGGGGTCCCTGGGTGTGCTGGGTTGGGCTGTCCTGGGCTGTGACCCTGATGGGGTGTCTGGCTGGCACAGAACCCTTCTTCCCCCGGAGTTCTCCTTGGAAGCTGGCTTTCATGGTGATCCTGACTGTGCTGATGTTCCTACTCCTGGGGGCTGCCTTTTACATCATGAGAGAGCATACTGCAAAGCACCGGGAGATACAGGAATGGGAGAAACTGCAGAGGGACAAGGAGGAGAACCAGCTGACAAAGGAGGAGGCACTGAAGGCAAGAGGTAATGCAGGACAGGGGTCATGGTAGGCCAGTGTGGCAGCTGGTGTGGAGGACAAGCGGACAGCAGGGCCCTTGGCCTGGAGCAGGTGGCTGAGGAGGACCGAGACGACAGCTGGGGCTGTGGAGGCTCCAGGGGTCTGGAGGTAGATCTTCTAGGAAATGGAGAGGTCCTCTCGTGGGCTTTCCAGGTGCAGTCTTTGCTGTTCTTAGTGATGGGAATTTATGCTTATTTTTCACTTTCTTTCAGATGAACTCCAAGCAGATCTTGGTAAGTTGTGTCCTTTTCCCAGAAGTTTCTGTGTCTCCTTTGTAGGAGACATTCTGTTCTCAGCTCACCTGTTTCCTGTGTTGCCTTTCAGACTGGAGGAAATCAGTTTACCGGGCTGGTGAGTGACTGTCCAGATGTCCTTGGGTCTCTTGCCCCCACTAAGCCAAGGTGTCCCCTCTCCTTGTTTCAGGCAGAGACATGTGGACCCTTCCCTGGGGCAGAAGTGGAAGCTGGTGGGAGGCTGAACACTGCTCCAAGGGCTTTCCCCATCTGGGCAGTTGTTCCCACCCAGTGCTTGGGAACCTGGGGATTATGTGGGTCCCTGGAGTATATCATGCATCTTGGCTTTATTCTAATGCTGATCTGCTGCCCCATTTCTAGCGTTTTAGCCTTCAATGCAACTGGTTCTCAGTCAAGCTGGATGCTCTGAGATTTTGTTAAAGAAGCTATATAAATAAATGGGGTCATTACGTTTAGGAGCATGATCCTTCCACATAACACCATCCAGGCAGAATCTTTTCTCTCCAGTTCCTGGAGGTGCTGATCATAAAGTGTTAGAGGACTGGGCAGATCATGGGTGGGAATGTGGTGGGGTGAGCTGTCAGTTGTCCAGATTAGTGATGTGTTTTCTGAGAAAGTTTGGCCACTTTTACCCTAGAGCTCAGCTAACATCCCATCCTCAATTCATCTCCCCTTTTGTGTTATTTCCCAAATATCTCTTTGCTGGAAAACATTGGATGTAATAATGATTTCCTACATTTATGGAATAATGTATATTTAATTCCCTAAAATATTTTCATCCATTGTATAATTTTTGACCTATTAAAGCAAAATTGAGAGCAGATAGAATAAAAATTTTTGAGTTTTTTTTTGTTTGTTTGAGGGTTGTAAGGCTCAGGACACTAACTTGGCAAGGGTCACATAGCATCAGCAGGCAGGGGTGGAACTCAGGCGGCAATGTGGGCTCTCTGACCTGTGGCCCAGGGAATTTCCCACAACACCCTGCTGTCTGCACATGGCAGGAGGGATCTCCTCTCCAGCCTCTCTCCTTACTCTGTTGGTAGTATCACCTGCAGCACAGAGGGGAGGCAAGGGCTGGTAGATCAATGCTAAGCTGACTCGTTCTGGCTCATGTCTCACCAGGGTGTGTTCCCTTTCAGCCTTGAAGAAGGCTCAACTGTATGCAGGTAAGTGACTCCGTTTCCTGTGGTCTTACCTCCCCAGCCTCAGCTCTGCCCCCTTCTCTGTCAGTGGACCCCACACCAGGATGGGGTTGGTGTCCCCGTACTCCTTGTCACATTTGTTGTCTCCTTCTGCAGACTGCAGTGATTGTCCCTGGGAACACAGATCTGCCTCCATTCTGACCCATCCTCTACTGTAGGTTGCTGTTAGAGTTGGCAACACCCTCTGAACACCCCTTGTTCAGCTGATAGTTTTGTTGGTGCAGTGACAACAGAGTGGTCATTTGTAAGGACAGTTGGACCATGGCATTGACTGTGTAGATCAGAATTTGCTGTCTCTAGAAGATTTCAGAAATCATGCTCACCTGCTTAGGACTCAGGTCTTTCTAAGGGGATCCTTGCTTCTGAATACATTTTACCCTGAAATTCCTACCTTTTTTTGGATCTAGTTTTGGTTTTCCTGTTTTTTGCTGTTTCTCTGGAATGTTGGTCTTCATTTTGCTTCCTCATGTTCTGACTCCTTGTCCAAGTTGAGTTTTTTCCTCTAAACCTGTGTGGTTGCTGTGAAGTAGTTTCTTTAGGTCAGCTGTTCTGAATCTGAAATCCAGAGCCTCCAGGATGTTTATGGAGTCCTGGTAGTGCGTTTGTGAGCTACCTGCAATTATATACAAAATCCTATGTATATGTTTGTGTTACAGAGTTAAGAAATTAAATTTTCTTTAAAGGACAGTTACTTATAATTGTTCACAACCATAATGTCTCCTTTTAGGAGAATTCAGGATTTACCTGATGGGCTCAATAATGGTTGGGTTTATTAGAGTCAATGTGTGAGGATTTCAACAGGAAAAACCCGGAGGAGTGAAAATTGTTTACCAGAGAAAAGTTGGGAGCAAATCAGGGAAGGAAAAGCTGGTTGGGGACGAGAGGAGGAGATGAGAAGGAGGGTAGAGAGCTTGTGATTCCTCTGGGAGAGACTTTGGGTGGCTCAGAGTGGTGGAAGAGAGACCACAAATCACAGCCATGGTGGTTCGAGTAGGAAGTACACAGAGGATGTACAAGTTATTTGGGTGCATGAAAAGTAATAAACTCCTTGACAACAGTTTGAGAGATTTCTGAAAAGACTTACATCTATTTTAAGCTATTTTGAAGTAATTTTCTGGCTGGGTTTGCTTCTAATAAGGAGACCATCTCAACCTTCCAGTAGTAGTCGGGGCAGGAATGTGATCCAGGGGATCCTAATGAAATGATAGGTTATCCAGAGAACCCGTTAGCATTGGGGTTGGTTAAGAATTTGGGCCCTTTGAACCTGTATAACATGTGCTTTCCTATCCTGGCTGTTTCTATTTATGATCAGGGATATAGACTGTGAGAACAGAGAAGGGGGAGCCAGGGGTACAAGAGTCTAGGGGACCAGATGTGTGAAGAAAACTCCTTAGAGAGCCACACTGATTCTTGGGATTTATTTGTTAAAAATGAGAATTAAATAGTCTTCTTTTAGCATCACTTCCTTCTCTGCTGGATTGAAATTCATGTGTTTTATTTATTTTTTACTTATTTATATATTTTTTAAGATTTTATTATTTGTCAGAGAGAGGGAGGGAGCACAAGCAGGGGGAGTGGGAGAGGAGAAGCAGGCTTCCCGCGGAGCAGGGAGCCCGATGCGGGGCTCCATCCCAGGACCCTGGGATCATGACCTGAGCCAAAGGCTGATGCTTAACTGACTGAGCCACCCAGGCGTCCCAAAATGCATGTGTTTTAAAGTATACCTTGTATACCTTCTTTTTTATAAGGACAGACACCCTTACAGTAGTAGAATCAATATTTTCACATTGATGGGCTCGTAGTGTGAGGTGAACAAATGTCTGATCTCATCTTATTCATCAAATTGGAAGAATAATTTATAATGAAAGCCTTGCTGTGGAAATGAAGTGAAGAATGCACTTGAACCACTGAAGTGCATAGCATAGCTCTGAATGCATCATAGAGTCTCAGAATGGAATGCCAACTCCCTTTCTCCTCTTCCTTCTTCTCCTCCTCCTGATTTCTCTTCTTCTTTGCTAATCTGTGTCAATTGTCATAGAAATGTGGAGCTGGCTGTCAACTAATGTCTTGATGATGAACAAGTAAAGTTCCCTTTTCTCAAAAGGTGACATGGGTCAGCCCACTTCATGTGATCTGTTTGTATAAGCAAATCAACAGAGCTGGACATACCCCTTTATCTGAATAAACCTGTATGAGTGAGAATAATGGTCACCTGTTTTCACCAAATGTTCAAGAAAATGTCCTGTTTTTATTTTTATAAGTGCTCTAATTTTGTTCTGTAGTCTCTGCCCTATTGGAGGTAACAGCTTTCTCAATGCAGACTTCTCAGGGTCTTATGACATATATACGTTTTGCTTTGATCAGTTAGCTTCCTTTCTTCTTCTGAAAAGGGAGTATGAAGGTCAGAGGAGTTTATGCCTTGTGTCACTGGGGGAGGGAGTCCCTGTGCTCTCCTCTTGATCATTTCGGGACCTCACCCTGTAGAGGGTAGCTTGATATGGTCCTTAGGATAATTGGGTTTGGGGATCCATCTAGGTGTTTGGAGGCATTGCTCTTCCCCGCCCCCCGCAACCCTATCTCCAGTTCCTTAATCTTAATCACATCTGTAAAGTTCTCTCTGCCAAAACATATTCACACTTTCTGGAGCATATACACAGCCATATTTGTGCGCCAACCACATGAGGTGTCTCCTGGTGTTTTGGATCTCTCTGGGTGATATAGGGAGAAGCAGATGACTAGACCCAATATTTTTGGGTTTCCCCTTACATATAGGGATGTTTTTCCTCCCAATGCCCCATGAAACGGGGAAGCAAATTCATTACTTTCTGTCCTCTCACTGGATGTATGTTTTTCCTGCTTTGAACTTCTCTCTCTCCTTTCCTTGAAACCTCTCCATTACCTCTTGACTGGGCAAGATTTCTCTGAAGCCATATCCTGAGTTCTCCTCACCCATGGCTGATAGTCATCCTCCAAGTGCAGCTCCGCCAAGTTGTATTGTCTCTACCGTGGCTTCGAGTCAACCTACAGGTTCAGCTCAGTCAGTCCTTTATTAGTAAATGGATGCCTCAGAAATTTTGATCTCCTCAGTTCTTTCTCAAGAAAACCTAGCTTTCAGGATTTGTGGCTAGGGATTGAAGAAGCATGATTTGATAGTGAAATCTGTGCAAAGAGCCTTCTTTTTGGGTCAGTATCCAGTCTCTCAGTGGTGTTAATCTTTATGGCTTGGCTTTCCTGGGAAGATTGTAGCAGGATGGCTGTGTGTGTGTGTGTGTGTGTGTGTGTGTGTGTGTGTGTGTAAGATAAATTCGTCAGGTGAACGTTTCCCAAAGATTTTTCCCTGTAACTCTTGCATCAGTGTATTTCAGAAGATAGATACTAACACTGGTCTGTACAGTCTCCTCAAATCTCTGATTTGTTGTTCACATTTGTGAAATGTGGTTTTCTTGTAGATTGGCGGAAGGAGAAGTTCCAGGCCTGTGAGTTACTTCAAGTTCTTTCTGGGTGCTTCTACTGCTGCCCCATGGCTGCTGACATCTTCAGCTTGCTGTGATGATACAGATGCTGGCCCCATCAATGATGGTGGACTCGGATGGGGCAGTGAAAGTCACCTAGCTGGGATTGATGGGTGTGACTGATATTGAATATAAATGGATGTCCTTCAGTCCTTGGAGTCCAGTCTGGCCCTCAAGTGCCCTGTGACATGTCTAACCCCCAGATCAGTCTTATGCTTACTTCTTCTGGTTGGAGGGCTGTCTGCTTGAGCCAGAAGGCTCTTATCTCAGGAGGCTTAGCCCTCCCTGCATGCAGCTAGGTGTCTGGGGTGGGATGATGGTTGTGTGCTTTGTTATGGGGCAGGGAAAGGCCTTGAATGATTGGAAACTCTCTCTGCAGTGCCTGTCACTCTGAATCCAGAGTCTGCACATCCCAGCCTTGCTGTCTCTGATGAAAAGACTAGTGTGACCTGGAAGGACACATCTAAGGTCGCAGGAGATATCTATAGCGTCTTGGGTCATGACAGCATCACACAAGGGTGCTGTTACTGGGAGGTGGAGATCACAAATGCAGATAAAAGTGAGTGGGCTCTGGGGGTCTGTAGCGGAGGTGTGCAGAGGAGGGGCTGGTACCAGGAGTCCCCAGAAAAGGGGTTCTGGGCTGTGGGGAAGTATGGTGATAGTCTCTGTGCCCTCACTACTAAGTCTCACAAATCCCTTAGGAAAATTCCTCACAGGGTAGGGGTTTTCCTGGACCTCAAGGAAGGGGATGTCTCCTTCTACAACATGACTGATGGCTCCCACATGTTCTCCTTCCCTCTAGCTTCAACCCCTGGGACTCTGTTTCCATACTTCAGTTTGAAGACAGGAGATGTGTCCATGACCCTCTGCTCTGTGGTGGGTGGGCCTGCAGAGACCCTTGTACCCCTTAACAATCCTCCTCCTTCTTTGGAAGAGCCTGTGAGCCTCTCAGGGGTGGGATTCAGCTCAGTCTCTTGTGTTGATGGTGCTCCCCCAGGGGCTGAATCTCCATTACTCCCCTGCAACCCTGAGGCTATGTTCCCATAGAGTCCCAACACTGTCCCAGACTCCTCATGGTGGCTCTTCCTGGAGCTGCAGACTCCCTGGGGTAATAGCCTCTGAGGTTAGTTCTGGATGACTTGGTGTCTCCCTGTCCTCTTCTGGGTGCAGACTGCTGGGGTGTGGTTATGAGAATAGTCAGTTCATGCCTTATGCTCAGGTATTAGAAGATAAATGTTGACTGAGCTGATATGGCGTAGGCTGAATTTTGCTATTGGAAGTTATGTTTCTTTTGGTCATGAAAATTATTTCATGGAGTCTTTGTATTGTTTTGATATGAAATGAGATGAGGTCTGAATTACTCTGAAGAATTAAATGGTGTTTATTTTATGCAGAATTTTAAATTGTGCAGACGAACCCAGAGGCTATGGGTGGGTCACCAGCTCTATTTTGGGAAGTGTGCCCTCTGACTAGAGACTTTGGCCACCCAAAAATTTCTGAATAAATGGATGGCTGATGGACTTTTTTTTTTTTTTAAAGATTTTTATTTATTTATTTATTTGAGAGAGAGGATGAGAGGAGAGAGAGAGCACATGAGAGGGGGGAGGGTCAGAGGGAGAAGCAGACTCCCCGCCGAGCAGGGAGCCCGATGCGGGACTCGATCCAGGAACTCCAGGATCATGACCTGAGCCGAAGGCAGTCGCTTAACCAACTGAGCCACCCAGGCGCCCCGATGGCTGATGGACTTTAAGAGGAGTGGAGTGTAGTATTCTTTTGTATATGCTTCCTATTCTGGGATGGACAAAACATACTTACCTTACCAAACCTTAGTAAATATCTGTTATTTGTGAAATACTAGTGCTGCATTAATTCAGTGACTGGAGGATGAGAATTTGGGTTCCATTGTGTGTCAACACAGTTGGAGAGAAGAGAACTGCTACCAGAATAAAGATGTGAATGAAAAAGAGCATTTTCAGACCCTGGGTTAATTGCAGAAAGCTTTCATCATGAGCACAGTTCCAGGATCTATGTACTGCTTCTCAGTATTTCCAAGTCCAATTGTAAAGGTGGATAGAAACCACAGGAAACAAAAGGAAGCCAGACTATTGAGGACTCAGACCTCCAGGAATGAAGGTGTGTTCACTCCTGAGGTAGAGAACTCCAACCTGCCCTGATTCTGGGAGAGATAAGACACAGAGTTGGAAGTGGAAGAAGGAAGTCACAAATCTCAGTTTCTGCCTGTGACCAAAAATAGGAAATGGACTGTAGTAGCTTTGCATATTTTCTCTTTCTTGTCATGTAGATGTGTCATTTGTATTAATTATCTATGTTCTTTCTCCCTTCTTCTTACCAGTGTGATTTTATTCAAGTTGTCAGTGGTGATATTTAAAATACAGTCTCTAAGTAAGAGAGTAGTCCAATGATTGTGGCTGGACTTAAGGAATAAATAATATAACTGGTCGATTCAATGCCTGGGACTACCTGTCTCTTCCATTTTGGGGAAAGAGTGAGAACTTTTTCACTTGTAAGTGTAGCTCTGTAGATGAGTAAAAATGTGGAGTTGTTGTGTTGTTATATGGAAGTTCCAATGTGAATAAAATGGTGTATGTGGAAGCTGAGGATCTAAAGATGTGGACTGTGCTCATTTTCAATTCATTGCCTTTTGATTCAAATCTACCCTGCATTTGCCCTACTTGTTGATACTGGAGCTGGATGTCATAAACGTTTCATTTCTGCCATGTGGCTCTCTTGTTAGCCTTTGTCAGTCAGTGCACTGTTGGGTTTGGCCAGCAAACCCTGAGACGGCGAATGAAAAAGATTACTCCAGACACCTTTGTAGGAGAAAGGAGATGCCTGGGGACCAGATGCTTTCATGGTGAAAGGCCCCAAGCCAAGCTTTGTCTCCACTTTTATTGGGGTCTTATCAATACACCACGTGCAAGGGCAAAACAAGGAAAGTGTAACCTTAATGATCAGGATAATAGTATATGGAGCGGTGTGTGATAAGGGCAAGGAGGCAAGGAGTTCGTGAAGTACATGACCACCACAGGTGCCTTTCTTCAAAATTTAAACATTTACTCCCTAGATGAGAACCTTGAGCCACAGTGAGAATCTGGCTGCTTTCAGCCAAGAAACTTCAAAGGAGGCCCAGCGTTCCGGGCACTCCTCCTTTGTTTTTCAGTTAGTCTCATCCAGGGAGGCATATACAAGTCAGATTTTGTCTATCCAGGCACTGTGAATTCCTATAGTGCACCACAGAGAACACAGCAAGATGTGGCAGGGGAGTGTAGTGCTTTCTTCTTCCTTTGGTGTTTTTTTAAAAACCATTTTATTTATTTAATTGTCAGTGTGCACAAGCAGGGGGAGCGGCAGGCAGAGGACAAAGCAGGCTCCCCGCCGAGCGAGGAGCCCAATGAGGGACTCGATCCCAGGATCCTGGGATCGTGACTTGAGCCAAAGGCAGATGCTTAACCGACTGAGCCACCCAGGCGCCCCACTTTTGGTGTTTTTTTCCCCTGGATCCTATGATGTTACTGCCAGTGGCCTGGAGAAGGCCTAGCTTCTCTCACCTTTGGGTGAATGAGTATGGCATTGCAGCAGGCTGTGATCTAGAGGGCTGCTTCCCAGGGAATCTTGGGAGTTTTCCTGCTCAGCAGGCTTGGCCTGTGGCTTGTGGGTGAATTTCTTTCCTACCTGGGGACCCTGGTCCCACCTTCTCCAACAAACAGAATGTCAGTCTTATTCTCTCAAATGTCTTCCTTTGGGTGCTCTACCTCAGCCCTGGAGGTAGTGTCTGCTTCCTGTGACTCCTTCTGGTTTCCTTAGAGCTTTCTTTTACCTCTTTCATAGTTAAACACCTTTTGCTTAATAAATCTTTATATCACATTTCCCCGTTAAAATGACTGATGTGGTTTCTGCCTCCTGACTGGACACTGACTGATATGAACATCTAAACTGAAGTGTACGTTAATATATTATCTGACATGTTCATCTCCTCCTTCCATATGGCTTGTGGCTTTGTGACACTGGATTACTTTTGGATGGGCTATGGGCATATTTCCTTTGAAATGGACAGGAAAGGAATGCATGGATGTGATATGAATTATCCACACACATAAGAGGAATCTTTTGAAACAAGTGGACCAGTTGCCCATGTAATTCCTCTTGGGAGGAGTGAGGTCAGCATCATGGCAGAATGAATCCTTCCATTTGTCTTCCCCTTTCCATTTACAACTACTAGGATTCCAAAATCTGCAACAGAGTTTCCTCTACATAGCACACCAGACGCTGAAGAGATCCATGCATGTTTATAACTGACAGTGTGTGGATTGGGCCTCATGGAGACCAGAGCCCAGGCAGGAGTGGTGGGGCCTGTTACCTTGGTTTCTACAGTGGTGGCAACATCTGCCCGTGACTCCTCTGGGAGAGAGGGTAGGGGTGGAGAGGGGTGAGTGAAAGGCTACCTGGCCCTGTGGGCTGCAGCTGGAGGACCCTATAGCTATGAAGCCACAGAGCAGGGTCCTCTGAGGCAGGGCATCTGTGACTTTGTGGGAGTGGAGGGGGGAAGGGAAAGGCAAGGGAAGGAGGCACACAAGAAGAAACACTTTATGCACTGTCTGCCCTGAGAGTTCAGCAAGAGAACACCCAGCACCACTGGGACTCCCGAACTTGAGGATCCTCCTCCTGGAGTGTGGGGCACACCCAAAGCCCAAGGGCTGAGTACATACTGCCTCTACTGGGTTGCCAGCCTCCCACTTTTTTGTTTTTGTTTTTTTTGAGCCTGGTCTAAATAGCCACCACAGCTGCTCTGGTAAGAGAAGCCAAAAACTTGTGCTATTCTGCCACCTGCTGGAATACTAAAGAAGGGCCTCTAACTGCCCACCTGTGGAGTGCTAGAATTAAAGTTAGCAAATCTTTACTTACTTACATGCAAAAGGTGTTGGCTACTTCAAATGATCTGGCAG